CAAGGTTTGCTCTTTCTGATTAAAGTAATTTTTAATCCAGCACACAACACCCTGTTCCTTCTGCCTCCAAAGCCCCTGCTCTAGTGCATGACTGCTTCACGGAAACAGCAAAGCAACGTCCTCCATCTAAAGCGTGCATTACTTATTCTCATGCTGAAATTATCCATTCCACTTTAGGACCTTTCTACAGATCTTACAGCTTCCCAGAAACACCCTGCTAAGAGTTTTGTAAACACAGCATGCTGTTGGTCTGTGGCTTCAGTATTTCTCCAGAGCACCTGCCTATTTGACTCGATAGTTCTTGTTCTTAGCCTCACTGCTATGCAGATCGCCCTGCCCCTACCCACCTCAGGTCCCGAACATGGCTCCCGGTTCTCATCTCAGAGCCCTTGGTCTGATGAGCTATTAGGAAAAAAGCGTCATCCTCTGAACTTCAAGTATTATTGCTCAAATAAAACGCTGAAGTGGGATTCATATACCCTAGCTAAGGGACACTTCTACTTAGGCACACTAGTGAACCTCTGTCTCAGTTTCCTCATTGGTCAAAGGGGTAGTGTTTATGCCTCTCTCCTTGGCAGATAAAATGTTGGTCCTGTCCTGTGTATATCAGGTGCTTTGAGTGGGAGTTAGCACAGAAAGAAAGTTCAATACATGTTAGCCCCATCCTCCTCATCAACCACTCTACCATGTCCCAAGTCACCAATGTTGACAGGACAAGCATGCCCCACCTCTTGTTACTGCAGACAACCAAGGGGTTGGTTGAGGAGGGGGCTTACACAGAACAGAGTAGCCCTGAGCTCCCCACATCTCTCTCAGAAGCTGTGATTTCCTTCATGCCTGGACTAAAGAAAGGACCCAATATTAGCTGACTAACTCACTGCTGCTCTCAGAAGTGCCCTATCGTCTGACTATAACCCATTCACACTGAAGGTGATTCATGTGCCCAATACCCTTCCTTTGGGTTTAAATCTTTCTGAAGAATCCATACTCCTCATGCAGAGGCTCTCAGGATGACCCATCCCTCTAGCCCTGCAATCCACTGGGAAAACCTTTTTTCTCAATGAAAATAGAGACAGAATTAGGGCCACTGCTCCACTGACCAGGTCTTCCTCCCTTCCTACTTCCTTGACCCACTGCCAACTGCATCCATTCTTTTATCCATACTCATCAGCTGCTTATGTGAATAGATTGCTTAGCTCTATCCAGGAGATTCCAAGTTCTTATTATCTTTAGGACTACACCTTACTTTTTAAAGCATTAACTTCAGAATAAATAATAATAATAGTTTGATAGTTCGGATAAAAGCTGATTTTTCTACCTTGTCTGCATTCTTTGCATTCATGTAGGCCATAAAAATCTAAGAAGGTCTTACCATATACCAGGTGCTTTGCTAGGTGTCAGGGATACAAACATTTGTACAAATAAATGCAAAGCAGATGGAGAATTATAATGGAAGTATTGGCACAGTGGAAGCACAGGGAAGGGTGAACTCAGTTCTTCCTGAAAGAAGAGTAACCTAAAGCCATTCTACTCTTGGAAAATGCTTTCCTCCTTCAAGTTAGAGTTCAGAATTCCCCTCCATAGGAAAGCCTTTCCAATGAGCAATGTAAAGATTCAGAAAAGTGCAGTGAATTTCGAAGACTGAAAACAAGGTCATTAGGTTCCATCCAGACTTCCCTTCAATAGGTTTGGGAACACAGTTTGACCTGGGAAGTAACTGGATTTGGAATCTGGTGAGCCATGCATGGTGTTTTCCAGAAGTGCTTTTGAGCATGAAGAAAAGGAGGAATCTAGGAAACTTCAAAAGCCTAAGGAATGTAAATGAGAAACTTCTCAACCCTTTGCGTTTGTGGTTTGCTTTGTCATTTGCGGTTCTATCCCAACAAGGACTTTGGGAATTTCCCAGCACATCTTGCTGCGACACTCCCCACTTCCACTGTGGGTGTCTTTGTTTTACATGTGGGGGGTGGGGTGGGCAGTGGGGAAAGCTCAAAAAAAGCTTGTCATTTGTGATGTATGAAGTCAGTTATCACATGCAACTACTGACTGGATATGAGAATAATTAGCAACCATTTAACCCAAGGGGCTACTTTTCTTCACTGAGCAACAAGGGGCTTCTTAATTTTCCTATATGTGTTGCTACTAGTGTTCATTTAATGCCAGAAGGCATCAAGAACAATTCCATTCCCATTCTCACCTACATCATTCCCATGCCTGTACAGGCATGAGAATTCAGAGGAAGGGATGAAGCAAGACACTGATCTTTGCTTAGTCAAGCTTTGAACGGTCCTAATTGGATTTAGGAAGACATGGTTATTTTCATTCAGTGTTCTCTCTACTGAATGTAAAAGAAGCAGATTAGGACTCATGCCAGAGTTCCAGCTTCTCACATGATAGATCTAAAGAATGTTACCTCTTATGGGCAAGTCCAGTTCTATGATGCAAGCTCTATTTATGAATTCATGATGACTCCCTTCCATCAGGGAGACAGTGGCTCCAAGATTTGCCTATCCAACCAAAATCTGTATCCTGAGATCTGACTATCAGAGAACATCTCAGTACGCCAATGCCCAAGTTCATCATCTCTCCATTCCCTGTACCTTCCTCTCTGGGTGTTCCTATATTGGTGGAGGACACCACCCGGTCATTCATCTCCGAAACCTGTGTGCCATCTTGCTGTTCTCCTCTCCCACATCACCAAGTCTTATAGAGACTATCTTCTTAAAATCACTATTACCTACCATCCTTCCCCCACCCGCTCTGTACACCATGGTCCAGCTCCTCATCACCTCATGCATGAATACCTTGAATATCTCCTAAGTGCCGCCCACACACACTTGAGCTGTCTCCCAGGCTTTCCCAGCTGCCATAGTAATCTTTCTCCAGTGTAAATGTCACTAAGTCACTAAATTCTTTACATTACTGCTCATTTCCCTTCAGGATAAATTCCAAGGTTCTTATACTCCCTGATGATCTGTGTGTGGTCCTACTCTCAGCCCCTTCCCTAAATGCACTCTCTATCTGTGGGAACATTCGATCCCTTCACCATCAGCTTTCTTTTACTATGATTGAGTGTTCCCGGGGCAAATGGTACAGAGCATGATTGGGTTTTATCTCTCAATCTGGAGTCACTGTCTTTGAACAAGTGACATAAATTCATTCATAGTATTGTGATTACTAATACTTGGACATATATAAGCCCAAGTATATGAGTAATCGCAATACGATGAAGGAATTAATTCATTCTCTATTTGCTGCTCTTTCTGGTATTTCTTATCTTCTTATCCTTTGTTCCCTCTCCGATGTCTGTTGGATTGAGGTTCCTCTGCTTTGTTCCACCTGACCTGAATATTTAGTGCTTTGAAGGACTGTACTCTAGATCTGTTTTTTGAATTGTTACCTTATGCTTTAGATAAGCATACTTGAACATAGGTTACTCTGAACAATTTTAGACATAACCAGCATCTATATTCTCCACATAACAAGAATCTCAGCATGCTCTAAATTCCATCTGCCTCCTCTCTACAGCCCAAATACATTGCATTGGAAATTAGCTGAAATCTTTTTGTTGGAAAATTAATTTTTAAACAGCAAAATAAGGGGGTTTTCTGGTTTATTTGCTCACAATTGTTTCTTTTATCTTACTTCTTCCTCTTGTATTTATCTTCCCCTTGCTTATAATTCTTTTCAAGGGATCTGCATATGGCACATTTTCTAAAATCTTTGCATATCAGAAAATGTATGGATTTTACCCTCGAACTTGAGATAAACTTTACTGGATATAGCTATCCAGATTTAAAGTTAATTATCTCCCTGACATTTGAAAATATTGCTCCATTATCTGTTGCACCCATTGCTGCTGCTGAGAATTCTGGTGTCAACCTGATCCACATCCCTTTATAGGTAATCAATTCACCCAAGGCCAATGTACCTCATTCCATAAGCTTTTGGAATTTCCTTTAACGATCTAAGATTTCACCACGTAGTGCCTTGTATGCATTTAATTTTTCATTTATTTATTCTGTTTGACATCTAAGAACTAATTGGATTCTTCAATCCTATGAAATCACCTTCTATTGTGTTTGAATTATTGCTGGGTTCATTCTGCCGTTCAACTCATGTGCTGCTATTTCTTCTTTCAACAATCTTTAATATCTACTTTGATATCTACTTCTAATATCTACTTCTTCTATCTGGGATTATTAATACCCTACCAAATTGAGCCCTAAAATGTGTTCTTATTAAGTAGGAAAATTATGCTAAACTGAACTGTTAACCGGAGTGAGTAGGTTTGAAACAAAAGTGCCCAATTAAAAAAAAATTTAGTTTTCATTACAGAAATCTGTGAAAGGCCTAGACCATTCAGAATTTTAAATCCTCAGATGGAGCAAGATGTGGCAAGGAAATCATAGCTCAGGATGAAGGTCTGACCACATTCTCATTGGTGGTCTTTCAAAGACTCCTTCCTAATCACACCCCTGGAAGTCAAGGCAGCCCTGGTCGTAGGTATACAAACCTCTGAGACAAGTGAATGACTTCAACAGAGCCTAACAAACCAAAAAAGACAATGTCCCCATAGCAACTTAATACATCCACACTATATATGCTTACCTGGAACCAGCACTTCCTAGGGCCACGTGATACATATGAACCAGGGACAGCACAAATAAATACGTCTTTATTTTTGGTATTCTGTGACCTTGGAGTATTTACATTTTCAACTAAACTGTTATATTGCCCAAGGGTTTGCATTTAATACCTAAGCTCATACTGAAGACATGTAGCTGGTGAATGACTTTGAACTGCTTGAAAAAGCAATGAGCTCCAAATAACAAAAGCAATGTGTTGAAGATGTTATTATTAACGCCCTAGCCATCCTTCAAAGTGTCAAAATCACCCTCCCAAGAAGCAGGAAGTCTAATATTGGTACAAATTCCCTGAATCTTGACATTCATTTTCAGGGTTTTAATTGACTCCAGACTCACACACCATGTGTCCCATGAAAGACAACAGTCATCTGCAAGATCTCATCACCACCCTCCCCCCCAAACTGTCTGAAACCCTGGAGACTCCTCTGAAAAGGTAGGGATCTTGTCAGATCATTAGCACCCTATTTTCAGAGGCGCTCTGCAAGGTGGTAGTGGCAATATTTATCTGAGTCTGTGATCGAGTCCCTCAGCTATCAAAAACATGCATCCTGGAAAATTTAGTCTTTAAAAAAAAATCCCATGTGTTATAGTCCTGGCCTTCATTATCCTTTCTGGTCAAGTCATTGCCCTTCTGCTGACAAAACAGCAAAAAGTAAAAATAAAGCACACATAGGCATAGTTTCCTAACAGAGAAGAAAGGGAAAGGAACGGGTATTAATTTAGGAAATGTACTGTCTACCAGTTGGCTTCACTCACACACACACAATATAGATACATAGACACAGGCATAGATATGGATGTACATTTTCCCCTCACATAATCCTTTGAGTAGATAGAGTTACCTCATTACTGGATGTGCAAACTGAGGCACAGAGCAACAAAACCCTAGAACCCCCTGTACTCATCCTTAGCCCTCGACTAAGTAATAATGTAATCTCAGTTGTTACTGTTCCCATTTGATGGTCAGGAACTGTATTTCATTCATTCCAGGATCCTTCTGCCTAGCAGAGTCTGGAACTTAGTAGGTGGTCAGTGAAATATGACCCCCTGTCTATGAAGTCTGTCATTCATCATTACAACCTGTATTATTGTCCTATCAGTACCAACTCTTCATTGAATCAAGGAAATGTCATTGACCTCCTACTATATGCCGGGTCCTCTGTTAGGCAGAGCTATACAGGAATGAATGGAACAGAAATAATTCCGAACCATCTATTGGGATAAATAACAACTAAGAATACATTATTACTTAGTGGAAGGCTAAGGAACAATGAAAAAGGTGACTGTGAAAGAGATGAATTCAGGAATGGGAGAAGAGGTAGGTGGCTGATAGCTCACCGGACATTAGATATCAGTGTTAGGGAAATCCTCTCTCAGAAGGTCATCATGACCTCTGCCACACTCACACTTACATCAGACACTGCATCTCCTAGGGCCTGGGGTTACTGGATTTAATAAATTAAAACAGGATTCCCAGCTAAATTTGAATTTCAGATGACCAATTTCTTTTATAACCGTAAGTCTGTCTCAAATGTTACATGGGACATACTAATACTAAAATAGTTCTCTTTGTTTACACGAAATTCAAAATCAGGTAGGTGTCCTGTATTTTATCTCTCGAACTTACTAGAAAATCATTCAACAACTTTAAAGTTAAATGGCATAAAATGTAGATTTTATTGAAATAGAGGTTGGAGACCTAAATTTCATTGGTTATTATACATATATAATTATTGAGAAGAGTTAACTTTCAAAGAAAGCAGTATCTGTGCAGCCTTTTTTTCTGTCATGGTTAATGTAGTTCATGAAGACCACAAAACAGCAAGTCTGGTACACAACACACACTCAATACCAACTATGGTCATTCAATTATTTTCATTCTTGCTGGTGGCATGCTCATTAATCCACTGTGCTAATATCTACTGAACCTTGTTATTTTCCAGGCACTGCATTGGGTTTTTTCACAAACACAATCTCATTCAAACTTTCCAGCATGCTTATGAGAAAAATATTAACTCAAGATTACAGATGGGGAAACTGAGTCTGGGTGATGCACTATCTTGAATCCAAGTGAGAGAATCCAGGTTTCAACCTAATTCATCTTGATCTCAAGGCCTCGGCTTCTCTATCACAGTGAGTGCAAACATAGAGTGTTTGGGTTTTAATTTAAAACTTCACCACAGGGGCATCTGGGTGGCTCAGTCTGTTAACCGTCTGCCTTTGGCCCAGGTCATGATCCCAGAGTCCTGGGATCAAGCCCTGGGTCGGGCTCCCTGCTTACTGGGGAGTCTGCTTCTCTCTCTGCCCTCTCCTCCCCTGCACCCCTGGCTCATACTTTCTCTCTCTCGCTCTTTCTCTCAAATAAATAAAAGCTTAAAAAAAAAAACTTCACCATAAACAAAGGAAAACAAATCCAAGACAGCTAATTCTAATTAAGCAGTGCTTTATTTATCTAGTATGTTTTTGCAGCAAGGCCCTCCTTGCTGTGTGTGGTTACTCATGACAGGTCATCCACCTCTCTTCCTTACAGGCATAAATAACTCCAAGGAAAGAGTGTGTGGAAAGATGAAGAACAAAGGAACTTTGGTATAAAAATGGCCACATTTGCTAGAATAAACCCGGTCAACAGTGAGTTGCGGGCCTTAGACTCTGCTCTGGTGATCCAAAACAAAGAGAAAGGCAGACAGAAGAATGAGGGACAGTTTTTGTCCAATACCATTGTCCTTAGGTGTCATGAGTAGGCACCACTCTGAGGTGGAAATGGACTCAAGTCCTCTGGGACAGCTCTTAAGCTCCTTGCCCTCCAGGCTACTGTTGGTCTATCAGCTAAACATTAAGGGACCTTAATGGGGAACAAAGTCTGTGAAGTACCGAGTTGTTCCTTCAGTATCTGAAAGTCCCCAGACACGGTAAGGTGTTGCACAGAGTAGGGGACAGAGCTGCAACAGCCTACAAAGCTATTCTCCTGGCTAAATGTGGATAATAAAAATAACAACAAAACCTACATCCCCAGTGTATAATTTCCAAAGCTCCCTGTAGTGTAAGTATGATATTCATAATTATGCTCATTTTGCAGCAGAGGTCCCAGAAGACCTGAGAGGCTGGTTACGCTACTCTCCCCAAGTTTCTTAGCACATCCGCAAGAGAGCTGGAAACAGAAGGTAGGTCCAGAGCGAATGCTGAAGGTGTTGGATCTCATGCTACTCAAGGACATTCTCATGCATCCAGTTGTCCATATTTTTTACCCTTTCATTACTAGGATGAACCTACCTATAGCCATTTCTCCACTGATGCACCAAAGCCCATACTCCTTTGCCTACCCAAAGACATCATTCCAAATATTAATACCAGCATCATCAACTGTGACTTTGATACTTGGTCATCCTCATCAGCATAAGAATATATACTGCCTTATGTACAATTATTCATACAGAGAGAGAGAGAGGCTTTCTGCCCCCATCTCACTTCAATTCTGCCTCATTTCTCTATTCCTTTAACATAAAAAAGGATGGATTGCTAAATGGATATAGGATTAGATAGACGGATAGACATGAGAAGTCAAATCTATTAACAGGTTAATTATGAATCTGGGGGCGATATATGGACATCCACTGTACACTTCATTCAACCCTTCTGCAAATTTGAAAATATTCAAAGAACAATATTGGTGGGGGTGGGGGAAGCTGTCTCTATTTACTTTCACCTCCTTTCCTAATTCTCCTAAGACCACTCCAATAAGGCTTTCACCACCACCATCCACAAGTTCTTGTCAACATCACCAATGACCTTCACATTGCTAAACACAGTGGTTCTTCCCAATCCTCAAGTTGATCTATTTTCAGCGCTTGACTCCTTCCTCTTCCAACACTCCCCTTCCCCCAACTCAGCTTCTGGGAGATCACTCTTCCCTGGTTTTCCTCCTAGGTCATTGGCTGCTGCTTCTCAGTTTCTTTGCCTCTTTCTTCTCACCTCCCCAACATCTAAGCAGCAGTGAGCCACAGGACTTACTCCTCAGACTTCTTTTCTGCTCACACTTGCATGCTGAGCTCATCTAGTCTCACGGCTTTAAATGATTTACAGATGACTTCCAAATATGTATCTTTAGCCCAGACCTTGCCCCCTGAACTCTGGACTGTACCTGGAGGTCCCATAGACATTTCAGTCTTAAAACATCCAAAGTCCAACTCCTGGGTTTATACCAGCACTGCCAGTCTCGCCCATATCTGCTTATCACCTTGTGAGTAAGCCCCAACTGGTCAGCGAAGGGATGAGGCACCACAGAAATGATAACCAAGGCTCTGCAGGTGACATGCTATCAAATGCAAGACATTTGAGTAAGGCCATCCTAGGCCATCAGCTAGTTACCAGGCAACGAACCAGCTAATGACAGATATACTTGCAGGCTCAGATCAGCTGAGTTGGCCCAGCCAACCCACAGAATTATGAAACCAACAAAAGGTAATTTTCTTAAGGCATTAAGATTTAAGAGGTTTTGTTCTTGATGAAAATTTTTAGAATTCCCTATTCTAGAAAGTACATATAATTTTAAGCAGAGAGAGTCATTCTCAAAAAAAATAATTATCTAATTCTTTAAATACAAGAATTGGGAGCTGGTCCTGTCTTTTGCCCTTATTTCCTTGAATACGGTCCCTTAAACTGTCTCAATTTCCTCACCTAGAAAAGTTTTCATGTTAGGACAACTTCTTCCAACTACCTTTGACATTCTTGGGTGGAGCTTTTGCACACTCTCCTGAGTCAATACACACTCCCTTCTCTCTGAACTGCAGACAAGGGATAGAGACAGGTCTACACAAATGTGTCCTCTGTTTCTTTTTATTTAATGCCATGTGATATTCTGTGGATTTTAAACCTAATTGGTATAGTTTACATGGTGAACATGCCTCCATTTTGTATTGACTAACTTTTGAGATTGAATCAAAGTATGAATTATTAAAACCTTAATTTTTAACTCTAGGTTGAATGCAAATATGGTTTTAAAATTTATTCTATTTTGCAAATTCTTCCATTAATTTTATTAAGAAGCTACTGGGATCTATCAATTTTGGATTTGATCTGTTAGAAAGATGGTCCAAGGACTTAACTAACTACACATGCCCCAAATCCTGATCCAGAGCAGTTACATTTGCCTTAACAAAATATTACTAATGAATCAGCAGTCTGATCAGATTGCTAGAGTAAAATAACAGATTCCACAGGGCCTAGTAAACCCTAAAGATAACTACGTCTGCTCCTTTTTCCTCTTCTTACTTGCTTGGCTCTATTCCAGTACACTCTGATCACATGTAGGAAGCCAGGCCCATGAGACCCCCTGCCCAAGCTCCTCCCACCCAGCCTCATTTACACTGTTCTTATCTAGGGTTCCACACCTCATTTTATTACATATGGTTAGCTCTTAATGTATGGCATCACCATTATGAATTTACCAGTCATCTGCCCTACTGGACTCAAACTCCTTGAATTCAAACACTGAGTCTTATTTACATCTGGATGCCTTGTGCCCAGCATGGGATTTGGCACAATGTTGGTGCTCCAAATAGGATTGAATGAGGTATGAATGATTGAATCCAATTCAATTCACTGAATGATTGAATGAGGTAAAGAGCTTCATGTCTCATTGTCAAGTATAGATCTCCCTTGGGCCAGCTTTTCTCTTGGGAAGGCTGAGAGCTAATGAAAACTATGCAAGTGTTTATTACCATCACCATCATCATCATCACTCATTTCACGTCAGTAGCTGTGTTCTCTGGATTTGTTTCCCCAGTCTTTATTATCTAATAAGCAGTGGAAGGCTGGGCAAAAATCCAGGCCTCCTGGCTCTAAGTCAGTTAATCGTTCCTCACAACATTATTATCATTAGTCTGATGGAGACCCAGAGAGGTCAACATAGCAAGAGTGGCCGAGAGAAGACTAGAACAGCTCATCAGAGCCATTGCCCCAACAGACAAGGGGGAAGAAAGTTAACATTCAGAAAACAGTTATTCTGTCCTGTCATTTTGCTTGTCACTCTACAGTTCACCTCTTATTTAAAAAAATAGACTTGGGGGGCACCTGGGTGGCTCAGTCATTAAGCATCTGCCTTCAGCTCAGGTCACAATTTCAGGGTCCTGGGATTGAGCCCCATGTTGGGCTCCCTGCTCAGTGGGAAGCCTGCTTCTCCCTCTCCCACTCCCCCTGCTTCTGTTCCCTCTCTCACTGTCTCTCTCTCTCTGTCAAATAAATAAATAAAATCTTTAGGGGCGCCTGAGTGGCTCCGTCATTAAGTGTCTGCCTTCGGCTCAGGTCATGATCTCAGGGTCCTGGGATCGAGCCCCGCATCGGGCTCCCTGCTCAATGGGAAGCCTGCTTCTCCCTCTCCCACTCCCTCTGCTTCTGTTCCCTCTTTCGTTGTGTCTCTGTCAAATAAATAAATAAAATCTTTAAAAAACAGACTTAGGTTTTTTGAGAAGTTTTAGGTTCATGGAAAAAATAAGAGGAAGGTACAGAGATTTCCCATATATCCTCTGGCCCCATATATATATATATATCTAGGATGTCCTAGGATATATATAGCCTAACCTCCTCCACTACCAATATCCCCCACCACAGTAGTCCACTTGTTATAACTGATGGATCTACAATGACACAGCATAATCACCCAAAGTCCATAGTTTACATTAGGGTTTACTCTTGGTGTTGTACATTCTATGGGTTTGAGCAAATATATAATGACATGTACCCACCATTATAGCATCATACAGAGTTGTGTCATTGCCCTAAAAATCCTCCATGCTCTGCCTACTCATCTCCTCCCTCCCTACCCATGGAAACCACTGATCTTTTCACTGTGTTCCTAGTTTTGCCTTTTCCAGAATGTCCTATGCTGGAATCATACAGCAGGTAGCCTTTTCAGAATGGCTTCTCTCATTTAATAACATGCATTTAAGCTTCTTCCATGCCTTTTCATGGCTTCATAGTTCATTTCTTTTTAGCACTTTTAGCACAACTTTGAGTAGTAGTCTGCTGTCTGGATGTATCACAGTTTATTTATCCATTCATCTACTGAAGAACATCTTGGTTGCTTCCAAGTTTTGGCAGTTATGAATAAAGTGACTATAAACATCTGTGTGCAGGTTTTTGTGTGGATATAAGTTTTTTACTCCTTTGGGTAAATAACAAGGAGTGTAATTGTTGAATCATATGGTAAGAGTATACTCAGTTTTGTAAGAAATTGCCACATTGTCTTCCTAAGTGGCTGCACCTATTTGCGTGTTTCCCCTTTTTAATTCTCAGGACAAGGCTGTGAGGTCAGTTATAGTATTACAGATGAGGAAGCCAAGCTGCAGTGAATTTTCTAGGCAAGGCAGTGAATAAGTAACCCACCACTCACCACCCTTTAAGCCAATCCCCAGGACATCCTAGATGTTCTACAAATGTTTCTACATAACTTCACGTAATTGCTCACAGCCCTATCTCCAGGTAAAATAAGAAATCTAGGACATCTACTACTATGGCCAACTTTACTGGAGGCTGAGTAAAGAAGAGAATGCTATTAGAAAAAAATAAACCTACCAATAAACACTATGGTTGTTATAGACCAAACAGCCCTTCAAGATAGGAGGGGGACCAAAGCAATCATGTTTCATGAATAGTAATCTGTCATTCCTGAGCCCCAGGAGTTTGAATAGGTTAGGTTGTGTGTGACTGCTCGCACATCATACATTTCACAGGCAAACACTGAGACTGTGGATGCTTCTGAAGGAAGATACCACATGAATGTTTCATGGCATCCAAATATTGCATGGAATATACTTACACTAAAAAATTGTCATGTATTTAAAATTCAGATACAACTGGATGTCCTATATTTTTTTTTGCCAAATCTGGCAACTCTACATGGTTTCTTTTTGACAGTGAGGACACTCTACCAGAAGACTGGTCCTTCTGTGTCATTGACCAGAAAGATGACCCATGTCCATGCTTACATTGACCCTTAGCCGGGGGGGGGAGGGTAGAACCTCCATCAGGATTTAAATCACTATGGATCATCACTATGAGCTTCCTGAAGTACAGAACCATGGGTACCGAATGGGGCCGGTGAGCCGGGTACCAAATGGGGCCAGTGAGCCACAGGGAAGGGAGATAGCAGCCTGCAGCATCAGCT